TTTTTCAGTCGATGTAGCAGCACTCCGTTGAGAGTCAGGCTATAAGATAGTCGATGTAGCAACATTTAGGCATGTTTTAAAAATGTTTTTTAATAAAATAAAACAAAAACATCACTAATAAAAAAAACTTTCTAGTTGTTATAATTGCGGTTTTTTAAAAATTTTTTAAAAAAGAATAAAATTTAATGTACTTCTGCATTAATTTAATTGCTTTGACATTTCGACGAAAATCAAATACAATTTAAAGCCCGTTCTCCATTTAGAACTTTTTGCGCTTTAGAGAAGCGGAAAAGTTCTTTGAGCATGCGCAAACAGTTTTTTTAAACGCGTTCTCTAATCAGACTTTTTGCGCATGATTAAAGAACTTTTCCGCTCCTCCAATGCGCAAAAAGTTCTGAATGGAGAACGGGCTTAAGAGACGAGGTAATTAAAATTGTAGTCGTAAAAGACTTTTTTTACATTAAAACGCTCTTTCGACTATATGGATATATTTATATATATATATATATATATATATAATATATATATATATATATATATATATATATATATATATATATATATATATATATATTTATATATATATATATATATATATATATATATATATATATATATATATATATATATATATATATATATATATATATATATATATATATATATATATATATATATATATATATATATATATATATATATATATATATATATATATATATATATATATATATATATATATATATATATATATATAGTATATATATTACTGTTACCGGCAGTATCAGGAATTAGCTAAATGCTAATATTTATAATATTATATTGCGACCTAAAGTTTCATGTGTTACTACAATCATCAGGCTGCTACAATGTGTTTAGAAAAAATTTAAGGTTTACATTAGTAATTTAGATCGTTATGGGACGTAAACTGTTTAGTAGTTAAGGTTAATGTTATTATTAATTTGTTTTTGTTAATATATGTGAAGTTTTTGTATGTTTTAATATCTGTTATAAAAATACGATTTAATAATGATGTGAATTGTTTTTAAAAATTATTGTATTAAAAATAAATGAATATAAAAATAAGTTTCAAAAGTGGGTATAAGAACATAATTTATATTACGAAATATATTACAAAAGCTGTATATGTAAATAATTTATTGGTTAGCCTAGAGGTGTACAAAATAGGGTTGCGTAGTTAATGTTAGTGGTTAGTTATGTTTGTAGCAAGCTTTGTAGTTTTTTAATAAAAACTTGTTTTCGTGGCGGCACTTTGATATTATTTCGTTTCGTTTATTTAGGAGTTCATCAGGTTTAGGATAGGATATAATTGTGAATTTCTCGTATAGACATAGTGGGCACCTTTTCGAAATATTTTAGTAGGAGGGTACAGATTTCAGAATAGACCATGTAAATATTGGGGTTTCGTTGAAATTGTTATTCCAATCCCAGACGTAGTTTGATAAGGCGGTGGACTTTTTGTATTTAACATTATTGAATGATGAATGTGATTGTTGTATCTGTTTTTCCACTCGCCTTCCGTTAATCCAATATACACTTTGTTGGGCTGAACTTTAGCTGCGATGATACATTTATATATAATGTTTGTGGATTTACACTTTCCATTCATGGGACATTCTGCTTCCTTTCGACAATTGCATTTTTTGTCATTACTTTCATTTTTTAGGAAAATATTTTTTTTGTTATGGTTTTTAATAATTTTTTCAATATTTTCAGTACAGTTGTAGCTTACTTTTACAGTGTTTCTGTTAAAGACTTTATGTAGCTTGTGTGTTTTAGGAAAATTTTCGTCAAATAATTTCAAAAATATTTTTGCGACGTTAGTGGAGACGTTTTTGTTGATTGTAGAGGTTAAACCATATGATATTGCGTTTACGATTTCTTTGGGGTAGATTTTGTTTAATATGATATTTTACTCACTAAACTCACTAAAATCTACCCCAAAAGAAATCGTAAACCCAATATCATATGGTTTAACCCCCCATTCAACAAAGACGTATATATATATATATATATATATATATATATATATATATATATATAATATATATATATATATATATATATATATATATATATATATATATATATATATATATATATATATATATATATATATATATATATATATATATATATATAGTTATAACCCGACGGGCATTTGTTTTTAAAAGCTACGTTTTAAATGTGTTTTAAATGTCTTTTAAACGTCTTTTAAACATTAATGTTTAAAAGACGTTTAAAAGACATTTAAAATACATTTAGATTGTAACTTTTAAAAACAAATGCCCGTCGGGAAATGATTTAGGTATAAAATGGGAGTTAAACATTGAAGTAAAAGATTGATGTTCTGTAAACAGATGCTAAACCGTTTAAACCGATGTTGGAATATTAAATGATATGGATTATTTAATGATAATAAAACAGAAAAGATAAAATTTTGAACAGAATTGTGTTCATAAGAAATTTATAGGCACAAAAGAAACAGTTTAAAATGTTTTGTTATGATTTGTTAATGTTTTTCAAAAAAAACTTAATTTGTTAACGGTAGCTGAATTGAATATTTCAAATTCGAAACAATATCTCAAAAGCGAAACAACATGGAGATCAATAAACCATAACTAAAAATAATTTTAGCAATTGTTCGACAGAAAAAGTCTGGAAACTTCGGTTCTTTTTATTAAACAACTTCAACTTTTCTCCCTAAGTTTACATTTATTAAATATATATATCTTTTTAGTGCATGTTTTTTTTAATTTGCAATAATTTTTTTTAAAATATATTCACATTTTATATTATTTGTTTTCGTTTTCTTTATCTTCAAGTTTAATAAAAAATTAATTAATCAGTATTGTAAGAACATAAAAATTGGGAAAGAATCGGAATTAGAGACAATTGAACATCAAATTGGAAAATTGAATTATATATATTCTTAAGCAAAAAAAAAATAAAAAAAAAAAGTTTATTTTATATGTTCATACTATTATATAAAGATAATTTCAAAATAATCAACAATAAATTGAAATTTAATTATTTAAAAATTGAACATTCTTAGTTCTGTTTTTTTAAAAAGCTTTCCTTTAATAAAAGTATTTTTTCTTTTATAGATGCATTTTTTTTTCCAAGTCGACTAACTCCTTTTTAAAAATGAAATAATCTTGTAGCTTTAAAATTTCTTCTATAAGTTTTAACTTCTCCTCTGTAATGTAACTCTCCATATCGACAGTTGACAGGTGTAGAGCTGGAGTTCTTTTTTTCTATGTTGCTGTAGCAGATTTTCCGTGATTACTAGAATGTTTGATTTGTCCTAAATTATTTTCGTTGTCACTTTTTTCATCTGCAGTTACAGTGTTTTGAGTTGCACTATTTGTAACA